TTAATTATTCATATTATTATAAATTTTTTTTATTTCAAAAATATTATAAATAAATATATAAATTATCTTTAAAATTTTAATTTAAAGAAAAATTAAAAAATTACAATTAGAGACATATGGAGTAAATTTGTTTTATTTTTTTAATCATTTACTTATTTAAATTCAAGATTTTATTTTTTCAAAAAAGTGAATATCAATTTATATTGAAAAATTAAATAAAAAATATCTTAAATTTAAGTCATTTAATAAAATTTTATTGAAAATTATTAAAATATTTTAATTTTTAAAACATAAATAAAGTTATTTTAATTTTTTTCTTGTAATTTTTTATTAAAATAATATAATTTCAAAATATTTTTTATTTAATTTTTTATAATACCAACTGATAGTTACTAAATTTTTATCTTAATTACTTACCATATGAAATTTATATCTCATAAAGACACTAAAAAGGTAATGATTTGCCGCATGGATCACCATGATGCAAGCCTGCGAAGCAACAAATTTTTTTTACAGGGCCAAATTGTAAGGGAGAAAGGGATGATTAAGTCATATCTTAAGCTTGTGTTGATTAAAGTCTGGTCCAGCCTGCAGGGCAATATTGAATGCACATAATTTTAAATTTTAGTTCAAGTTCACGAGTATTAATGGTAAGAATAAAGAGAACTTAAGATTAGAAGGATTTTTCTTTTATATTCAAAGATAATGGGTTGGAATTTTAATCTACACTCCAAACTCTATACACATCCTTTAATAATAGAAAATGTGGATTTTCATATTGACTTGTATAAAAAAAGTACAAAATTATTTTTGAAAAAAATTTACATATTATTAATGAATTAATACACATAAATAATGTATTAAAAATATTTAATTAATTTTACAAATATTGTAATACTATTTTATTATAGACTTCTTTTTTTTTTTGAACATGGGAAGAAGGGACTGCACAGTACAATTTTAAATTATGACCGGAGTTATGATTTTAAATGCATCCGACCAAAGCAACCGAAATTATGGGTGCTATTATAGACTTATTTAAAAAATACTTTTCCTATTAGTAATATGGACTGTACCAATGGCTCAACCTAAAGATTTTTTTTTTTTTTTTTGCCTTAGAGTACATAAGCCTTTTTAGTTCTAACATTTTGGTAGTGTGAAAACAAGGATATGATTTCAGGGCCCGAGGGCGCGACCCGTGATTTTGTATTGGAAAAGCTTTTCCAGCCTCACTTTTTAGGGCAAAAGCCAGAATTTTTGTATTGGATAGTAAAAACAAAACCAACAGGTTAAAAAAAGAGATAATAACTTTGTAGTCTCTATTGTAGGAAGACTACTTTAGTGTTAATGATATTTTTTTAATTAATAATTATAAAATATATAATTTATTTAAAGATAAATTAAAAATTAATTTTTTAATTAAAAAAGGGTTAAACCCCCATTTGGTCCCTCAACTATCATACAGACCCCCAACTTAGTCCCTTAACTCAAAAAATTCCTGATTTGGTCCCTATTATTTACCATTTTGATCCCAATTTAGTCCCTCCGTTAAAAGGCAAGGCAAGGCAAGGCAAGGCAAGGCAAGATGATGATGATGATGATGATTATGAAGGCAAGGCAAGATGAGGAATTGGGAATTGGGAAATGGGAAAATTTTCTTGGGTTCCTTAGAACCTAGCACACTTGGGTTCAAATGAATCCAAGAGCAAAAAGTAAATTTTTTTTTTTTTTTTTTTTTGTAGATTTGGTTGTTTGATGATGATGAAGAAGGCAAGGCAAGATAAGGCAAGATAAGGCAAGATAAGGAACTAGGAA